ATATCAAAGTAGTAGCTCAGGTTCTGAAAGCTGCTCTACCCTGACAATGCTGCTTCCAGTTCAGGACTGAGAGCTTGGTCACATTTCCTCACCACGGTCAACCGAGTACTGCATAAAGGAATCGTGTTCCCATTTATCTCAGATATATACCTGACTTCATTAGGCTTGCAATAAAAAACTACCACCAGCTTTGATGAAACAGAATTTTCTGTTTAAATATCCATTTTGTATTGTTCCATAAAACTGCCTCACCATACGTTTCCTCATTATTTTTAATTGTATATAAAGTGCAAGATATAACACCACTAGAAAAAAGCAGAAAAGTATAGAAGAGAAGAAAGACATATGCAGAAAACATGAACATAAAAGCCTGAGAAGGGGAAAGATTGAAGTCATAAAGAGACTGTATGCAAATCAAGAGCTCAAAGTTGTATTGTGGACACTGGAACTCCCATTGTACCATTGTATAGCTTTGTGTGCTCATTTTGAGAAGTAGATATCTTAGCACTGCAAAATTTAAAAAAAAATAAAGCCAAGTTTTTCCCTTCATTTTTATTTTCAAGTTGCACAAAATGGGAAGATTTGTGGAGCATAAAGCCATTTGGAATAGGCTGCTTAGCTGGTACTCTAATACATCAGCTGCTGGGGGATCTGGAGGGCAGCCAAGCCTTCCAAATCCAACACCTTCAGCAGCACAGGAAGACAACAGCTGCTAAAACTTAAAGTTTTCACTAATGCACCTTTCATAAAGTTTGCTTTACAAAGGCTCTCCCAACCAATAAAGATATTTAAAGTGCAGACCGGTACTTCAAGATGTCCTGAACTGCTGGGTTTTGTTTTTATTTTGTTTTCAAACACTTCAATTCAATAGCCTAGTGAGAAAGGTCAGGACATCTGGCCATACTTTTTGGCATTACATTCATAAATGCAGAGAGGTCTTATCCTGTTTCTCCTCAGCTACAAAGGGAGATGTCCCTGAGCCCAGAAATCCTGCCATACCTGTACCTGCACTCTCTGAAGATAATTTTTTTTTTATTATATCAAATTCCTTTAAGGAAAACTGTCTTAAAATTTCTATTTTACAGAAGCTTAAATTTAAACATGCCTATGTTGAGATAATATCTGTGAAGAGGGATGCATTGTAGTGTGTCAATTAAAGCTGAAACAGCTTGGTAGGATCTTTGGAAAATAAATGGAACAGCACAGGTTTGTGTAAAGAAGGAATACTTTCTTCATGTATACATAAAAAAAAAAAAGAAAATCTGATCATTTCTTTCTGCTCACTTTCTCACAAGAACAGATGCTATAAATATTCCTGAAAAGTGAATTTAAGTACCTTAAATATTTGTCAAAAGCAAACTTATAATTATGAAATGGTTTTAGATAAAATCCTTTTATTGCATAGATGACAACAAAGAATTTCTGCAATTAATCATTATAGTTTAAATACTGTTGTCAAAATGTCAAACATTTACAAAGCACTGGCTGTTGGCTTTTCATATGCAAGAACAAATTTGCAAATCACTGTAATGAAGAAAATAATTACAGAATTATAGAGTATTGCACTAAATAGTAATGTTTCAAGTGTGACCATGTGTCCATTCTGATCCACCCATCTGGACCTGAAGGTGATCTCTTGGTCCCAAGCACTTAAGGCTTTATCATAGATGAGCAAGGTTACAAAGCTATATGCATCACTTATTAAAAAAAAAAATTTAAAAATCAACTTTATGCTGCCCAAGAAATTTACATTAATATGCTCTTACAGTAGTTTAATTAAATATTCATTACAAAGTACCACATCTAAATAGCGTGCCTTGTACAAAACTGAATTTGGAACTATTCAGAAACAGCAGCAGAAAATAAAAAATATTTCCTTACAAAATCCTGCTAAATCAGCATACTCATATGGAAATCTCTGTTACTATCCATTACCTGATCCCAAAGGATAAACTTAGGGAAATTGTTATTAAAGTTTGAACCCAATGCTATTAGAAATATTTAGCGTCAGGGGAATACTCTGAGCTCTACTCCTTATTTTGCTGTGGAGATACTACCTAAAGGAACTGTTGCATTTTTTTAATGTACCAAATACTGAAATACTGACACATTTCTCAGTTTTTCTTAATCAGTATGTTCCATTAAATCAAATCACGCATTTTTTCCTTCATCAATTCACATTTGTCATGATTTGCACATGGGTTGTCATGTTCTACATCATGATTGTTTCCATTTCTATATTGCAAACCAATAGGGAATGATGAAATTTATTTACTAAATTGTTAAACTGTGGTTTACATGAGCAAGTAACTTACCTTGCAAACCTCCACCACCAACAAACTGTTCATTTTGAAGTCCTGGCAAGTGTAAAATTAGCTGTTACAGAATTACAGGGTTTGAACAATAAAATGCTGTACCAGGTAAATTTATGTAACTCTTTGGTTTGCTAAGAACAACAATTAGTATTGAAGGAGACTAAGTAAATAGCACCTTAAAAAATAAAAATTCTATAACAGTTATTGTAATAAATGTGCTGGAGATTTTAATTTCAGTTGCAGTTGACAACAGTAACAAGGTTACCCTGACCATAGGAAAACTGGTTTTATTTATCTCCAATTCTTCAGCCTAATGGCTTCATAGGCAAGAATTGGTTCCACAGTGGTCTCTACAGGGCTGAGAGACCAAAATTTTCAAGGTTACCTACCTTACATAGGACAGCAATATTAATTTCTAGTCAATAGAATAAAAAGCTGTATTTTCCAGTGAATTGTTCCCCTGTGTACCTCTCTATCAGAATCTGAAAATATAAGCTATTCAACTGCATTGTCTTTCTCTTCGGTATCCAGGCAATTGCTACCAGTTTCTAGTTTCAAAATGTTTCACATACCATAGGCTGAGCAGCCAGAAATGTCAAGCTGACTTACACACAGGAAAGTTTAAGATCTAACTTTTAAAAAAAGGTAGCATTAAACCACTTGCTTTGCTCATAAAAAAATAGCACAGAGGTATCCTTTGGGTTGCTTTTCTCCATTGTAGCATGGCCATTTTAAACTGCTGAGACATTTTATATCTGGTGTCAGCCACTCCCAGGGCTTTGCAGTTACGTGTGTGGAGGATGAACAGCAGGCACTAATACGAGTATCATGACTCTTTTCAGGCAGTAGGTGAAACCTTGAAGAAAAAGTGGCTCTGTCTTCAAAAAAGTGACCTGACCTTTGCTTTGGTGGGTTTTTACTCTGCAAGAAATAAAAAGCACTGCATGCTTTCCAATGCATCCTTCCTAGCTGATAAACTATTTTGTTCTAGCACTCAGCACAAAAGGACTACATTTTATAAAGACCAATAGCATGCTATTAGTGCTAGCTAATGATAGCTCATGTGTCATACTGGAAACAAGCTTCATAGACCTGGAATATGTCATATGAATCATGAACAAACACGTAATTGGCCCAGAACCTTTGATATGCTTACCAATTAAAAGTAATTTTCATTGAACTTAATATATTTAATTTTACAATGACTTTGCAGTTCTTTGGATATCAAAGGCATCACAAATCCAGCATGCTTATCATTTATGACACTTCTGCTCTGAGAATTTCTTGCAGCATGCAAAGAACTCTCTGTAGGGTATCTGTGATGTGTTGCACAAGCAAGCTAATCTAATATTGACCTGATCAGTAATAAAATCAGTTTAGAACATGTAATAGTACATAATGGTTTTACCTGCAATTGATGAAATGCTCCTGAAACAGTCTGTAGTTTGGGATAAGCAAGAGTGGGGCTTTTCTTGACACAGAATACACTGCTAGTGAAGATAATTCTTGTATATGATGTCTTAGCAAAGAATCCCTTCTGTTAATAGACTTTTAAGGATTTAAATATATTTAAGTCCAGTTGTAAAATACTTCTTTTATGGAGCCAGATCCTGCAGTCTTTGCACAGCTAAAACTTCCATGGAAATCAATGGGAGCTTTTAGAGTATAATAATAAGGACCTGCCCAGGGTCACTGGCATAAAACAGCTCTGCTGTGATGCTTTATGCGTAAGCTCCAACCTTCTCTGTCACTTGCAAGAGGCAGAGATCAAAATAAGACCAAAGATCAAGCTACAGAAACCCACATGAATTCAAGATGATAAAGACCCTCATTAAATAAAAAGAATGGCATCAAACAGCATGGCACATAATGTTGGTACACTTTTTGTTTGGCTAATGTATATTAAATAATGTCAAAATATCTTAACTTTGACCAGAATATTTAAAATGTATTAAGTGAATTATAAGAAAAGTGAAGTTTAAAAAAAAATAAATCCTTGCTGTAAGTTCTACAACAATGATAATTTTGGGGAGAGCTGTAGCAATGTCTACGATGGCAGAATTTGGCTCCGTATGTTCTGTTAGCAAAAACCCAGACTGTTTATATGATGTAAATTGCCTTTTAGAATGTTACTAGAGCTATAAACTCTGTGGGTCCAGATTATACATTCAAGTTTCAGGGAGAGTTTGCCTCAGTGAACAACAAGGAGCTGTGCTTTATTTGAAAACTCCACTTGACACTATTTTTAAGAACAAAATCCAAAAACCCACAAAGAGATATTTTGGGTATAAACATTTGGATAACTAAAATTAAATCAACGGGGTGATCCTCCAGCCCCTGCTGCTCTGGGGATCCTATCCTGCGGAAGGCTGGCACAGGGGAACTTCCAGCAGGCCTCGGCCCAGCAGGAAAGCGCCGGATTCCTGTTGACTTCATTGGGGCAACTCTAACGAGCCACCAGACCACGGCTAGACCCCAACTGCCTCCTTAACTATTGGGTTGACGGACCATTTGTTATATTATTATTACTTTTACTATTTTTAAACAGTGCGTGTTCTGCTTCCAACCTAGCTTTGCTTCCAGGCGCGGGCGCGGCCGGCGTCCCGCCGGGCCGGCTCGGGAGCGCGTGCGCGGGAGGCGGTCGGAGCCCGCTGCTGACTTGGCGCCATTGTTGGTTTCGCTGTTGTAGGGCAAAGGCGCTAGGGCGGCCGATAAGGCTGTGGCCATGGTGATGAAGGAGATTCCGAGGGAGGAGTCTGCAGAAGAAAAGCCCCTCCTCACTGTGGCATCCCAGGTGGGCAGAGCGCGGGGCTCTGAGGGGGCCGCGGGCGCTGCGCGAGTCCCCAGCCCCGCCAGTGGCATCCCGCTGCTTCACTGAGGGGGGAAAATAGCCTGGGGTAAATATTGGGGGTTTAGATGTTTTGACGTGAAGATTTAAGCAAAAAATGCATTTTTTCCCCCAGTTCAGTTACGTGAAAGTTGTTTAAAGCTAGTGTAAAATCTTGGTTCTAATCATGCCATCAATTGTCACGCCATAAATACTCATTTGCAATTCATATATAAAATATTCCCATTCGGTGCATATGTAAAATAAGAAACAACCAGTTCACAGTAATGTCATTTCCAATGTCTCAGCTCCCATTCCTAAACTCTCACTGGGGTTCTGCTCCTGGTCTGGATCAGAATATGTGACTTTGCACATCTCATTGCTTTCATTTCTACACCTTCAGTCAAAGAAAGGACATATGTCCCCACACTAAACCTTACACATACCTTGGAGTAGCCACCAAGAATTTGGTGGTTCCATTAGTTTCTTATAGACAGTGACTGAACGCTACTGTAAATCACAGCACTCTCGTACGAGAGCGGATTTGATTCCCTCATTTTGCTCACATACGTGAATTTGTTCCCCAGGCAAGTGCATTTAGTATACTGCTGATATTTACTGCACACAAATACTTCCAGCTCATCAGGAATGGAAATTGCTGGGAGCTGTTTTTATGTGAGAGCCTTAAATGAAATCCACAATCCTGTTTTATTCCACTCATGATTTAGGATAACAGCTACTGTACTTTAGAAAGTTCTAAGAGCCACACACACTAGCACGCACTTCTCAGGCAGAGCATCACAGATGTGCTGCACTAATACACATTCTAGAAATACCATCTACTAATTTGGAAACCAGGTCTGGCACTTCCTCCTCAGCCCCTGTTGAACGCCAGGTTTTGTTCATGGTGAATTCCAACGTCTATGAAGAAATTGCACAAAGGAAAAAGATGGTCTGTTTAAGGCATCATTTCTAATTTTCCACTAAGTGATTAACAAACAATTAGAAACCCACATAAAATGCAGCCCCCTCTAAACCTTCACTGCACCCCAAAAAAGCTTGACATGCAAAACTTCCCTTGGCTTCAACAGGGCCAGGAGTTCAGCCTGGGTTCATTAAATGTTTAACACACCATTTGTAGTGGCTGTCTGTCAGTCTCCTCAGCAATAGTCTGTGATAAATTTATGAGTAAAATGCTTGTGTCTGTTAGTCAGTGTAATTTCTTCCACTAAACACAAATACCTACTTCCCTGCTATGCACCAAAGGGGTGCAGAAGCCAAAAGGAAGCAGAATCAAGTGAAAAAGTGAGTATTTTCCATAACCATCTCTGCATCATGTATGTGTGATGTGCAGCTGTACGACCATATTGCATATGTCATTTGTCCCCTATTTGTCTGGCTGAAGTGTTGGTTTGAGGTGCTGTCACTGCAGTGTGTCCATGTGAACCCCTCACCCCGACCATCCACGCAGGAAAACGCTCTGCTGTGTCAACCATCCCCATCCTGTCTGTCTCTGCTCTTTACATGATGAAACAGATGGATGTGGTTGCTGCTCATGGGGTGGAACAAGTTCCAAATTGACTGTAAATTTCCCTAGCCAGATGGGTCAGGAGGACAAAGCCTGGTCTTTCCAAAATTCTCACCACAACCGAACCCAGTGTGAGCAGGTCCACATCTTAGGGAGAAATTTAATGCATTTAGTATCTATGCTGCTCCAACCTAAGCAAAAAACCTGCAACTGAATTGCAAGGATCAAGCCCAGACAGAGGAGCACTGGCTTTTCTAAGAGAAAAAAAAAGTGAAATCCCCCTTTTCCAAAATCCTTGATGAATGGAGGATTAATTATGTCTGACTGTGGAGACAGACTCCACAGAAAGCATAACTGGAATCTGATACATGAAGAAGAGTCTCTAAATCTGCTTTTTGATAGTGATAATGTACATAGGCCCCTGAATTACTAATTTAAAATATGTCTCTTTGCTCTCTTTCTCTGGAAAATGGTAAAAACATATCCAGCACAGAACAAGACAGATAAATAGTCCCATTTCATTGTGATGCTCCTAGCAAAGCCCAGCTTTTAAAATATGACATCTATTTTTTGAATAAACACTATGAATTAAATTTAAATTGTTTCCAATTCACGGATTATTTTATACCATCAGATATGGTTTTATATCATCAAAACTGGAGGCAAATCTTCAAATAACAAGAACCAAAAAAAGTAGCACAGACTCCTGTGGGGCTGTGGCAGTATTTGGCAACTGGGAATCTCAGTCACCATTCCAGCAGTAATGAGTGTACTACAGTGAGCAGAGGGGTATTCCTGGTAATTGAATGGACCTTTCAGTATCTATTTTTTGTAATCCTGTCTTTCTGTCTCAATTACTTTCCATAAAAGTCACTTTCTTCACACTTACTGGTGTGAAAAAGGATTCAGTAGTTGCCAAATTTAATACTTTAAGCATCAAGAGGGTGATCTTTCAGTTCTAATGGGATTTTGTAGACTATAACTCTATCCATGTTGCTGTCTCCCTTTATCTTTTAAAAGATAATTCATAAGAGACTGAGACAAATGAAAAAAAGACATTTTTTTCATATTAATGGAACCTAGAAAACATGTAAGAAAGTTTGCTGAAGGTTCAAAGATTATCTGGATATTAGGCTATGAGCCAATAACTTCTACCTGAAGTTGAGAAATAAATGAGAAAAATCACGCATAAATTTGGTTTTAATTGCAAAATAAAATTCTTGTTTAACCTCTTCACAGCTTCTTTGCATTCATCAGGAGAGAAAAAAAAATCTTGGTTCAGAATTACTTTCTAATGAGAAATTTAAACCTAAATATGCCCTGAAGTCAAAGTTTAATTGTGCAGTCAGCTGTGAAATTCCCAATTTACTACAGGTCAATGAACTTCAAAGGATCTGATTCAATCACATACTTCGACCCAGACTTATACTTTAAAATATGATTAACTGCTTTATTGAGCAGTAAAAGAGTTCATGCTTAAACACTTTTCCAGCAAAAACAAAAGAAATCTCACAGTGTCACAGGAGTTATTTGTCACAGATCCATCACACCTAATTTAGATTCGTTGTTAGAGTACACAGGTTGGAAAGCTGCTCATCCAGGGATCCATAGGTAGGATCCCTATAAAGACAACAGAAAGAAAGAAGACCTGCAGGAGGGGATTCATATCCATGACAATATACTGTGGCCAATATACTCTGGAATTATATACAACAGAAATGGGAGTTCATGAAAACTTCACCAATAAGAAAAAGAAATGCAAAATACATCTTGAAAGCTATTCCCCACTTCTGTTTGTAGCTGAAAAATATAGGAGCTGCCTCTTGAAATTTATGGGACCCATGCAGACACTGCTCAGAGCAGAGTTTTGATGCTGAGCAATTATAATTTATAAAGTTAACCCACAGAACACTTTAGGGTTTAGAATTTGAATTGGAAATAAGAAATTTTAAAAGCTGGAATTATATTATAAGAACCATTCTGAAATTCATCCTCCCCTGTGAAAAATGCCGGCTATGGCACACGTCAGAAAAAGAGATATGTTTCATTACTACACCCTAATTAACTCCACCGGATGCTTAAGGCTTTTTTATGGTCTGTAAGGTACTAGTTAGCATTCCGAGTAGAAACTATTATTTTTTTTAAGTGAACTTCATTTGCATGCCAATATTTAGTTGATCTAAGCACATTTATATTTGCTTAAGGGCTTGTGAATAAAATACTCAAACATTTCCACTGTTTAAATTTCATTGTTTTGGTGTTTCGATTTTCATTTGCTTCTATGTATGTTTTTATGTGCCTATGTATGTATTTTTTTACTTATTTTGGTGGTGGTGGTATGTTTTTGCTTAAGTTTAGCTTTCTTTTCTTGCTTGCTTTGTTAGGCTTTTTTTTTACGTTTGTTTTCCTCTGGTGCTTTTCTGTGGGTTTGGGTGGGTTGTTTGGGATTTTTTTAATCTATAACAGGAGATTTTTCAATGCTTTCATTCAATTTTGTAGAGGAAACAGATTAAAGATAGCTAATATTCAGCTCCGAATGTTGTTAGCAGATTTTCTGATGTGTGTATCAAGGGCTCACTACATGAATTTGATTGCATAATCACAGTTTTCCATATAAACTTAACAGTCCCATTTGAATCAATCATGTTCATTCTAAGCTTCTTAGCATTAGGCTTGCACTGACTTCCAGCCCACTCCATAAATGTTTTCTCAATAAGATTATAACAGAATGGTGGGATGTTCCAGTGGATGTAATTAGTTTCCCTCCTCTTCTACACCAACCTAAACCAGAATTCACTCCATTTTAACTGAATGATACACATTCAGGTAAAAAACACGAAAATCATGCCCATTTTGATTATTGTCATTATCAAATTGTGGAGTGCAAGAATTCATTGTAAATTCCAATCAACCTTCTGAGAACAGTGGCAATTTCTTCACTGATCTTAGGATAACTAGGCTTGAGATGCTGTATTTTGGATTCTTTTTAAAGAATTCATGATAAATTTATTAGCAGTATTTTCTGTCCATCTCAAATCTGATTTATTATAAAAGCTTTGAGTAGTTTATCAGGGGACACATCCTAATTCCTACTGATATCTCTTTTTCATCTATTATTAGGACAGGGTAAATACTTGAAGAGCAAAAGAAAGAAATACTAAAATGAATAAATGCATAAATGCATGCTTAGCAGTACAAATATTAATTGGTTCTTTACCTCCAAGTTAAATATTGCTCAGCATTTATTGCTTTTAGGGCCATATGCATAATTTCAGCAGAAATATTCTCATGAGTACAATAAGATTGCCTTGACAATATGTTTAAAAGCCATAAATTGGCTGCTTTCCTAAAGTTATATAGATCTCTCTGTCACATAAATTAAATACATTTTTCACAAAATTACAATTTTAATTTGACATTACCATGGGAATTGATGGTG